ATTAACCTACTGCTTGAAACATTAACTGACTTCAAATTTAATTAGATAAGAAAGAATGCCATTGATAATGTCACCCAAATTGCCTGATAGCTATTAGATTTTTCTCAAAGCAGCAAAAATTGTGAGCATGAAAACTGATTGAGGCCTAAGTATATATAAGCCCCAATGAAACCTTTGTGTTTACCAATAGAGTTTATTGGTATAAATTTCAGTTTTCATTCATTTAGCACTAAAAAAAGTGAACTGTTGCTCTAGTGAGTGAGGTTCCACAATCCTACAGCTGTGACAGCAGCTTTAGAAGCAGACTTTCTGTTTAAATGTCTTGATAGTTAAAGGAATCCTGGGACTTAGTGACCTCCCAAGGACTGTCCAGCCCTGGAATGTCGCATGTCTGAGTGCAATGCAGCAGGATCCACGTCTGGGCATAGAAGCTGGATTAATAGAGTTTTCTGTGTGGTCTGAGACCTCAGCCTTAGCTCACTTCTTCCCACTAGGCTGGGAGGTTATTCTCTCTAGGCTTTCAACAAAGCATTTAAGTTTATTTGTTCATTTTGAGAGACAGAGAGAAGTGTGTGCACGCACACACACATACACACACACACACACACACACACACACACACACACACGAGTGGGGAAGGGGCAGAGAGCGAGGGAGAGAGAGAATCCCAAGCAGGCTCCACACTGTTAGCGTGTGGAGCCCGACTCAGGACTCGATCTCATGAACTATGAAGAATCATGACCTGATCGGAAATCGAGTTGGAGATTTAACCAACTGGCCCATCCAGGTGCCCCCAAAACATTTTTAAACACAAAGATGAATGAGCTCTGATCCTTACTTAATAACAGCTCCCAGTCTGGAAACAGGTTCAAACACAGTAACAAAAACACATGATTTGGGAAGCCTGGGTGGCTCAGTCGGTTAAACATCCAACTCTTGATATCAGTTCAGGTTGTGATCTCACATGGGACTGAATCTCTTTTCTGGCTCCATACTGGGTATGGGGCCTGCTTGGGATTCTGTCTCTCCCTCTCTTTCTGCACTTCCCCTACTCACTCGGTCTCTCTCTCAAAATAAATAAATAAAACATTTTTTTTAAAAAAAAAAAAAGCATAATTCACTATGGTAAATGCTATTACTGAGTGCTTATGCCAAGAACCATATAGTATCTTGCAAAATGTCAACAATCCTATGAATCACATGTTATTCCTTTTATTTTACAGACAAGGAAACAAACCTAAGAAGGTGAAATACCTTATCAAGGTTGTTGTTGGGGCCAGGATTTACAAATATGGTTACCAGCTGGCTATGAAGATACCATTGAAGTGTTGACATGAGAGCTGGATTTTGAATAATTAGGATTTTATGAAGGATACATGGATAGGGAAGCATATACAAAGGCAAAGAGAATTTTTAAAGCCTCTTCAGACAATGTCAAGGGCTGCTATGAAGGACTTTGAAAGATAGGCTGAGACCTGAACTCTTTGCACTTACTTCATCATGATCACCATGGCATGGTTTTAAGCAAAAGAGTGACACACTCAAATCTGCATTTCAGATTCATCCAATTTGCAGTGATAGTAGTGAGACTTGAGCAGGAGATCTAGGAAGCTGGAGGTGGGATGAGCTGATGAGGGGCTGAACCATGGCTTGATAGTGAGGATGAAGGAAAGGAGAGGGCTCTACAGGAAAAAACCAACAGGATTTTTTTTCTTTCTTTTTTTTTTTTTTTTTTTTATTATTAACTATTAGATGGAAGAATGGGAGGAGTCAAGGACTAGGCCAAGGTTTCTAAATCGGACTAATAAGTGAATAATGACTATTAGCCAAGTTAGGGCATGTGGTTGAGAATGCACCAGAAGGGCAATAATGATAGAAGTGCCCGTAAGATACTGGATGGGCTATTTTGAGGCAAACTACTCTGACAGATAAAGTAAGATCTGTCCTGATCTAGGCCCAAAATTATGGCTGGAATTGTTAATCCATTGTGTGGATAGATTTTCAAATATGTGTATTTGTATGTTATCTATGAGATTTATATACATGGAGAACAGGGACACCTGGGTAGCTCAATCGGTTGAGTGTCCAACTTTGGCTCAGGTCATGATCTCACAGTTCATGGGTTCAAGCCCACTGACAGTGCAAAACCTGCTTCAGATTCTCTGTCTCCCTCTCTCTGTGCCTCTCTCTCTCTCTGTCTCACAAAAATAAACATTTAAAAAAATTTGTATACATGGAGAAGAGAAACTACTTGAGGATAAAAACTGAAGCTTAGAAATTTGAGCCTTAAGGAAATGCTGAGCACTATGGGAAATTCTGTTGTCATTCAGGGATTCTCTAACGTAGAATTTCAGTCTGAGTGTACAACCTCAATGACCCACCCCTCTTCTAGCTACTCCCTTCCTTCCATGAAAAAAAAATCAAAACAAATCTATTTGGTAAAGTATTATTCCAGTTTTTCTTAATCAACAGTTTGTCATTCTTCCCCAGACCCAAAAGGAACTCAAAAATTACATACTCACAAAAAAATGTTAATTCCACCCAATCATGATGTGCACATTGCTTGTTTTGCAATCCATTGCCTCAGTAAGGCTGCTCCACCCCTGCTCTTTTGGACTGCTGACCCAAATAACATTCTGAGCTATCAGGGCTGGGTGTTCTCTTTCTCTCTTTGGCTGTCTTTTTAATCTTGATTTTGACCTTTGGAGGATACCACAGATCCAGATAGACGCAGCCCTATTTTTTCATGTGCTTAGATGTGTGCGTATGTATATACACTATATACATACGTATATATCCCTGTAACTCTTATTCTTTCTATGCCAAAAATAAGGTTTTCTTGTAGGGAGGGTAAATATGTAAGATGGTTGAACTTGCAGATTAATCCAAGTTTATGTTTTCTTTATGTTTTTAAGTTCATTTATTTTGAGAGAGACCAGCAGAGAGTAGGGAGAGAGAGAATCCCAGGCAGGCACCATACCTGTCAGTGCAGAGCCCATTGCAGGGTGCAAACTCACAAATTGTGAGATCATAACCTGAGCTGAAACCAAGAGTCCAGTGCTTAACTGACTGAGCCACCCAGCCTCTCCAGTCCAAATTTATGTTAAAAAGGCCCTTAACTCAAATGTCTCATTATTTTCACCAAGGTTACAAACTCTTTTAAACTGTGATTCATTCAATAGCAGATTTACAGCCTGATTTTGAGGTTGACTCCTTTTAATAATCCAATACCAACAGACTCTAGGAAAAAGGAATGAAAGGGCAGGGGGAAAGATTTTTACCAGATGAACACAGGAAGAGTTTCAGCAAAGGTCATGAGAATGCTGTTGTTTTGAGTTATTTCCATCTTAGGTGTGTGATTCACTCTGGCATGTCCTTAGCCCGCTATGTATGGGTGGTGTCTACAGGCTGAGAAACTAAGGTCTTTGGGCTCAATAGGTTTTTCTGATTCATCATTGTCACATTTGTTTCCAAAACTTTATCTTCATCATTTTAGTGTTTTTCCAAATTTAATGATTTAAGAGAAATCATTAATGGCAGTGTTCTTTTTATTAATATCATCTTTGTTTTCTATGAGTTTTTTTGTAACACTGGAAGGCACTTTTCAGATCAGCAAATAAATTTATTTTTTCTACTCTGAGTGGATTACTTTTCTCTTATGAAAGATTTAAAATGTATTAATGCTAACACTCTTTTTAAAATAAAAATATAGTTTGCATATCGGTGTCAGGTATACTAGATAGTGATTTGACAATTATATATGTTATGAAATGTTCACCACGATACTCTTAACACTCCTAACTTTCCCTGTTAATAATAATTCATCTGAAGGATTTTTTTATTTTGTCACATTGTACTGCATAATATCCTGATGAAAATAAATTCACATGGGTATTTCTGGAATTTTGTTGTTTATCCTGCTAATTTCCTCTTATTAAATAAATGGGGTGCCTCAGTGGCTCACTCAGTTAAGCATCCAACTTTGGCTTGGGTCATGGTCTTCTGGTTTGTGGGTTTGAGCCCTGCATCGGGCTCTGTGCTGACAGCTCAGAGCCTGAAGCCTGCTTTGGATTCTGTGTCTCCCTCTCTGTCTCTCTCTCTCTGAAAAATAAACAAACATTTAAAAATTAAAGTAATAAATGAATCATCCATCACAAGATTTTGAATACCAGATGAATTGTTTGAGAGGACAGTGTGTGAGTACTTTGTTGACATACTTTCTTTTCTCCATGTTATAGGTAATTTAAAGAAGGGAGGGTGTGGTTCAAATGTTTTGGAAGCAACTGGGAGGGATTGAAACCACCTGTGAGTGGATCCTAGTATTGCTCCCCTCCCCAACCAGAGGCAGGACCTGCCTGCAGCAGTCTTTCCCTCTCAGACTGTGATAAATACAGCCCAACAACCTACCTAAAATGAGATCTTCCCTCTTTGTTATCCCATCTCTGTTCACTGATGCTGTGTTTGCATCCTCCCTGACTCAGACTTTTACACACAGACCCACACCTCCTTACCTTGTGTGGTCTGACCCCAAGCATTTACTGAATGGCTTCCTTGGATTCAAATATATGCCTCCCTGCCTACATGCATGTACACTTGATTCTTTCAGGTGTGTCTGCTACTTAGGAATGTGCTAGTTCCATGGTCTTGTGGCCATCTCTTGTTTTAACTGAAGTCCCCTTCCTTGCCCTTCCTGGCCATCCCGATTTTTTAGCTACCCACTTTGTCCACTTGGACCCATGGAGACTAGTTTAGTCTGAGAAAATAGAGTCTAATTGTCGCTCTGACGAAGTGCCGAGGGCTTGGTTGAGTCTTGGACCAAGCAGATTGGAGAGAGGTCAGGGATGGAATTTCGGGCTGAAAGGAACCTTTCTCTCCATAGCCTTCTCTTTTTGACTTGTCCATGGATACAGCTCTTGGGGAAATAAAGAGATGAGACAATTATCCAGGGACCAGGCTTTTATTAGATTGCTTATATCTGCATTTTTTTTTCTGTTTTTCAGATGGGTGAGTCAAATGAAGATATAGACCAAATGTTCAGCAATTTGCTGGGAGAGATGGATCTCCTGACCCAGGTAAGATCCTCTTTTTAACTTGAAATTAGTAAAAGATGGGTTTACAGTATTTGATTTTAATATGATGAGAGAGCTATCTTTAAAAAAAGAACAACTGGGGGTGCCTGGGAGGCTCAGTCGCTTGAGCGGCTGACTTCGGCTTGGGTCATGATCTCGCGGTCTGTGGGTTCGAGTCCCGCGTTGGGCTCTGTGCTGACGGCTCGAAGCCTGGAGCCTGTTTCGGATTCTGTGTCTCCCTCTCTCTGTGCCCCTCCCCCACTCACGCTCTGTCTCCCTCTGTCTCAAAAATAAATAAACATTAAAAAAAATAAAAAATATAGTAAAGTTCCAATTAAACATTGAAAAGGAATGAAGAATTAGAAAGTCACCATTATACAACATCTGATGAAATACACACTGAAGCATATGATTTTTAAGGTTAGTGAGTACAGAGCAATGTTCTCAATCTTTAGTCATTCACATATCACTTTCATAATTTTTGTCATGCTGCAACCCACTGTCCTATTATTTTCTTAATGTTTGTCATTAATTGGTTTTTAAAATTAAACTCTGTCTCAAGTAGATGTTCTAACTTGATTTCTTCTCAAACATCCAAAGGAGATACCCAATAATTTAAATTTTCATTGCGTTTTTGTATACCACCTAAAATCATTCACAGGCCACACCAGACACGTAGAGAACATGCTACATTCTTTATTTCATTTTGGGCTTTGAGTGACTTTCCTAGGATAAAGGGAACTCCTTCTGGAAATCAATTACCTTTCTTTTTTTCCTTCTCTCTAACTGGAAGCCTGTTTTATCACACATGTATGTATTAATATTTTGTTAGAGAACTACTTCTGATTTCTTTGAATAGCATGGTAATTATGTCCGGAGCAAAGATTAATCAGCTACCCTAATTGTGATGTTAGACTTCTTAGTCATGGTGAAGGAGCTCATTGATGAAATTTTTTGTACTTTCCTTTGTTCTGGTATTTGCCCCATTGTTTAATCAATCAACTTCTCTCTTCTCCACAGTTTTGCTTATTCTGTTTTTCAGAATGAATTCTGGGGCTGCAGTCACTTTTCCTTACACTTTATCCTTAATACTAACTTGCTTGGGTTAATTTTTTTAACTTCTTAATTAATGGTCTTTTTTTGTTTCTACTTATAATTGAGGATATTCCATTGTTTTATTCTCAAATGTATAATGATTCATTTCCTTCAGACATCTAAGACATGAACAAGGATATTATTTACCAAATCCAATTAACATCAAAGGATGCACTTACTATCATGAACATGTTCATGTTGCAGGATGGGGGAAATCACCTCTCAAACTATAGACATAAAAACATTTTTGGAAATTTAGATTGTATGTGTAATATAGCTTTCAAATCATGGAGGAAGTCACCTTTTCAATCCAAAGCTTTTATTTACAAAATTGATAACTTAATTCTGTCTTAATTTCTTTTTAATAAGAGTTTTATTAGATAAGAAAAAGCATAGGGGCGCCTGGATGGCTCAGTGGATTGTGTGCAACTTCAGCCCAGGTCATGGTCTAGAGGTTCACGAGTTCAAACCCTGCATCAGGCTCTGTGCTGACAGCTCAGAGCCTGGAGCCTACTTCAGGGTTCTGTGTCTCCCTCTCTCTGCCCCTCCCCAGCGCTCGCTCGCTCTCTCTCTCTTTCTCTCTCTCTCTCAAAAATAAATAAAAACAGTTTAAAAAAAAGAAAAAGCATAATATTTTATTATGTACTGGCAGATTCATCCTGAAACAACTTTGATCTTCCAAGTGACTAGACATTCCTTTTCTTTGATGTCATTACTTAAGTCCTTACAAGAATTACACACGATATGTGTCACAAATGCACCATTACAGGAGATTTATCTGTTATTCCTGAAAATTAACTATCTCATGCTCATCATTCTATGTTGACCTGCTGTTTCAAGGTATACCTTGTAGAACCATTTTGATGTAGTCATTTTCTGTAGGGGTAAAAAATCACATAAAGCATTTTTCATGTAAGAATACAGTTTTTAAAGAACATATTTAGAAAGAAAATGTGTAAACAATAAATGGTTTTGTCTTAATGATTAAAATATACTGCAGACATGTTAATGTGGTAAATAACTTTGAGGACGGGGATCTATTTTCACAGAGTTTAGGAGTTGACACTCTTCCTCCTCCTGACCCCAAACCACCCAGAGCTGAATTCAACTACAGTGTGGGTTTTAAGGATTTAAATGGTAAGCAAAATAATTTCTTAAGTAATTTGAAATCATAACAATGACTAACATCTGTACAGAACTATGATTTGAAAACAAAAATGTAAGGAACCTGGACATTTTAAACTCCTGGATTTCGGCTTGTGTTTTATGGTGTTTGGATTAAATTGGGGGGCCAAAAAGATATTTTTGCCTACAATGAAAGGGAATACTGTCCTGCATTTATGTAGAGTATCAAAGCTATTTTTTTTAAGTAAAGGGAGTTTCTTCCTAGTACTAAGCCCCAAGAGTAAGAAGCTATAATAGAATAAAAAAATATTAATAAGGAAATGTCCCTTCAAAGATAATAATGAACTATTCATTTCAGAATGATTGATAATATATGTATGGGTGCTTCAAAATATATTTTAATTGATATATAATTAATATGTATTTGCTCTATTTTTTATCTTCCCTGAAATCATCACATTATTTTATTAACAAAAATCTGTCTTCTTATTTACTACGAAGACAATCTTTAGCCCATGTGCTTTTTCAAACTACAATGAATCTTGTAGTAATTGCTTCCAGTGAGAATTCACTGCAACTCTTGAAAAAGATTTTCCAAAGACGTGCAGTACCCACCAAAAAAGTGAAAAACAAATAGAGAAGCCCAGTTACAGAAATCCAGAATTCCAAGTTTTTTTCTGTCACTGAGTTTCTTTGTTTCTGTTATTTTTAGTAATTTTTTTATAAACCTTTAGGTGCCAATGCCTATACCTGGACAAATTATAATACATTTCTTCTGACTTGTTTTCCTACCTTCTTTTATGTTTGCCATATAAACTTAACTATTCCTGGCAGTTATTTCCATCATAAGATTGAGTGATGGTAACATTCATGACATTTCAAAAGAAGCCATACACCTTGGTAAACTGTCTGACATTAATAAATAACATATACTTGCACATATGAACAGTGCGGGTTTTGCCTAATCACACTCACCATGGCTGAGTGCTTTAATCAGTTCAATTAGAAGAATTAATCAATACTGCAGTTATAGACGACTCAACTACTGCTTTCGAAACACTCAGTACCTAGTATCCAAAAATTACTGAAAACGACAGAAACAAAGAATCCCCACAATAATATAGTATTGTTTAAGTATAGTCACGAGAAACTCATGTCATTAAGACTAGAAGATAAGACATATCCATGAGGCACAATTTGGGTAGAGGACAGAACCATTAAAAACTACTTATGTGTACTGAAAATTAAATGTGTTGGTAATTAGAAAAGAAATAGGCTTTTTACTGTCTTCACTTAAAATGTTGCTAAAATAGGGGCGCCTGGGTGGCGCAGTCGGTTGGGCGTCCAACTTCAGCCAGGTCACGATCTCGCGGTCCGGGAGTTCGAGTCCCGCGTCGGGCTCTGGGCTGATGGCTCAGAGCCTGGAGCCTGTTTCCGATTCTGTGTCTCCCTCTCTCTCTGCCCCTCCCCCATTCATGCTCTGTCTCTCTCTGTCCCAAAAATAAATAAACGTTGAAAATGTTGCTAAAATAAGTTAAAAATATTTGCCCAAAGTCATTCAGAGAGTTAAAGACTTCCGAACAGAACCCATTCAATTCTGTATTGCTCACTTCTGTATTGATATAGTTAAGGTTATGATTTTCTTTAGAAATTGTTAACATGAGAACTGTTATGGGAACTCTGTCCCTAAAATTTTTATAAAGGATTAAAATAATTTGCTCATATGGCAACAGTCACAACATAATTGCTGACATTAGGAAATTATGAATATGCTTCATTTGTTCTACATATATTTTCTTTGAAAATTTTTAAATTGATTCAATTTTATGAAGAAGTTATATGCAAAAACGGCTTAGAAGAAAATAAATCCTTTTTACACATTTACTTGAGTCCAAGTGCTATACACTAGAACTATCAGCATGAGTATAATATGCTACTTGGTATTTACTATGATGGTGTTTGGCAATAAATTATTTCACAGAGCTTCATGGTCGTTGCTGAGTAAGCTGCATTTCCTCATTCCACTTCATCCTGCACGTAGCAGGTGACTCTTCTTCCTCATGAATCCCTTCCATACTGCCCATCCTGTGTTCATTACATTTGCCATCCAGTGAATGCCTGCTCACCAAAGCACTCCTCTAACAATGCTCACTGACACCGCTCCCCCATAGGCCCCACAGTCTGTCAGCTTTCAGGATCACATGTCCAATCACCGATCACACATGGAAGAAATTCCAGTGAGAACTGTCCTTCCTCACCCTCACTCTGAAAATCCGTGTCCGTGCTTTTTTAAAAGTTAACTCTCAGCTCACCGGCTTATGAAGTATTTACCACTTAACCCAGTTCTTTAAAATTATTTTTTACTTCTCAACCTCCTTAGTGCTTTATTTCCTGCTGATAATCATTAATCACTCTTTCTTTGAATGTGAGAGTTTCCGTAGTTGGATGGTGTGCCTACAGAAGTTCTATCCTTACCACAAGTCTCAAAGCATACTAAACCCCGGTTGATTGGGACCTACTTTCTTCCAAATAGATTTATCATCGGTACTCTGTCTGCTCTCCTAAGGCCTGGGGAAAACTCCCCTTCCATCTGTTTCCAACATCTCCCCTCCCCTACTTTTCTAAAACTCTCAGCTCTTGCACCAGAATATACAAGAATTCCTATTTAGGCAACTAATTATGTGCTTGGATCTGACTTTGTAGCTAATCTGTGAGGGTAGAAAATAAGTTTTTCTCCTTTTATGGGGGGTGGGGGGTGGAGGAGAAATTCAGCTTTGTTGAGGTATAATTGACAAAATTGTAATACATTTAAAGTGTACAGCTGTAAGTGACTCGATATATGTATGCACGTAAAAGAATTTCCTCCATAGAGTTATTAACACATCAATAGGGGCGCCTGGATGGCTCAGTCTGTTAAGCCTCTGACTTTGGCTCAGGTCATGATCTTGCAGTTTGTGAGTTTGAGCCCCACATTGGGCTCTGTGCTGCCAGCTCAGAGCCTTGAGCCTGCTTCTTTGCCCCTCCCCCCCATACTCTGCCTCTCTCAAAAATGAATAAACATTAAAAAAAATGAACACATCCATCACCTCACATGTTGTTGTTGAGAATATTTAAATTCTACTCTCTCAGCAAATTACAGTTAAATAACAGTATTATCAACTATGGTCACCATGTTATACATTGGTTCCTGAGACCTTATTCATCTTTATAACTAAAAGTTTTACTCTTTCGCCAGCCTCTCCCTGTTTCCCACACCCCTGCCCCTGACAACCCGTACCCAAATATCACTCTTAAAAATGACCTTCTTGATGTGTATACACACACACACACATACACACACACACACACACACACACACACACACACACAATGAAGTATTACTCAGCAATCAAAAAGAATGAAATCTTGCCATTTGTAACTGCATGAATGGAACTAGAGTGCATTATGCAGAGTGCAATTAGTCAGTTGGAGGAAAGACAAATATCATATGACTTCACTCATATGAGGACTTTAAGATACAAAACAGGTGAACATAAGGGAAGGGAAGCAAAAATAATATAAAACGGGGAGGGGGACAAAACCTAAGAGACTCTTAAATACAGAGAACAAACAGAGGGCTGCTGGAGGGATTGTGGGATGGGGGGATGGGCTAAATGGGTAAGGGGCATTAAGGAATCTACTCCTGAAATCATTGTCGCACTATATGCTAACTAACTTGGATGTAAATTAAAACATAAATATTTAATTTAAAAAATGAAAATTCTTTAAAAAATGGCCTTCTTTCTGTTTTCCCAGGTAGAAATTGTTACTTTGATCATTAACGTGGTGGTTTTTCCTATCAGAGTCCTTAAATGCGCTGGAAGACCAAGATTTAGATGCTCTCATGGCAGATCTGGTAGCAGACATAAGTGAGGCTGAGCAGAGGACAATCCAGGCACAGAAAGAGCCCTCTCAGAATCAGAATCATCCAACACCCCTGAACATACCAGATTTCAGCGGTGCAGCCGCTCTTGGTTACGGAGCAAATGTTGCTGTAACTAGTGTTAGCCAGTATGAGGATGATTTACCACCTCCGCCGGCTGATCCCATGTTAGACCTTCCACTGCCGCCACCACCTCCTGAACCTCTCTCTCAGGTAAGTGTGTGGGACAGGGATGGCAGGACTCTTGACTTCTGCTACCCATGGTCTTTGACTTTCTTCAAAATGACAGTTACATTCATAATTACCTAATTTCTGAGATACTTAAACAAGGATACTGAGTACGTTTGTTGCAAAGCCAGAGTCCTCCATAAGAAGACACATTGGTGTGTATAAAGAACATATTGGGGACATATTCAAGAATTATTATAGCTCAGCTTAAGTTTATATTTGTATGCGACACTCCCTGATAGTACTCAACCTTTTAGGGTAATGTTTTATTAACTTGGCATGAACAGTGCAACCAATTTTATATCATGTCTCTGTCTCTGGTGCTTGCCCAGTATGTAAAGAATTGAAAGCATTCCTCACATACTTCTGAATTGACCTAAATGGAATTTTGTTGAATTTGGCTACCCTGTTCAATAGAGCAAATATATCTATGAACTATTTGTAATGTCGTAGTTGGGTGGAGTGAGGGTGAAACATTTACTTACAAAAATCAAAGGGCCTTAGGAGCACCTTGGTCGCTTAGTCAGTTGAGCATCCAACTCTTAATTTCAGCTGAGGTCATTATCCCAGCGTTATAGAATTAAGACCCACATTGAGCCCACACATTGGGCTCTGCACTGAGTGTGGAGTCTGCTTGAGATTCTCTCTTTCCTCTCTCTCTCTCTCTCTCTCTTTCTCCCTCCCTCTCTCTTCCCTCTCTCTCTCTCTCTCTGCCCCTCTTCCCTACTCATGTGCTCTATCTCTCTCTCTAAAATAAAAAAAATAAAAATAAAGGGCTTCAGGCTCATAAAATATTTTACTCTCTTTTCTGCCTGCTCACATGTGTTTGTCAGTGTTTTTTTGGTGAATTATAAGTTTAGGTTTGAGTATGAGTCTTAACTTTTAGAAAACTAAGGACCCCTTTAGGAATCAAATAAAAACTAAGACTCCCAGAAAATGTATGCTGATCCAGAAAAATGTATATAATCTCAGAGAGTACTCAAATCCCTTGAGATCCACCTGTAGATTCCTCAGGTTAGACTCCAGTTTTGAGCCACTCAGAGATTTCTGTGGACTAAATATGTAAAGCTCTTTTAGAGTCCTCATTTTATCTTTGAAGTTACTATTTCTAAGATACAAAGAGTGACTGCATTCTACCTCTTTGGGTTGAACATTTTTGTTATGGTTATTTAAATTCTGAAAATCAAATGTGAAATTCGGTGCCTCCTAACACAGCCTTTTGTCAACATAAAGTAACTAAGACATTAGCCATCGCCCAGGTACTTTCTCACTGCTGTTCTCTAGTGGATGGTGTTGAATGTCTTGCTGTTTTACAGGAAGAAGAAGCAGCCCTAGCCAAGGCTGATAAAATTAAGCTAGCATTGGAAAAACTGAAGGAAGCCAAGGTCAAGAAGGTAAACTATGAATCACTTTTGCATGGGGCAGTTAAGTTAATGACATTTATGCTTAATGGGGAAAAAAAAAAAAAACTAAAATTTCTAGTGGTGTTTTCCAAATAGGTATAATTTTTTTTTTAATTTTAGGACAGATGATTACATAGTTATTCTTTCTGTGACATCAGTTAGCTCATTTGTGATTGATAAATAGGGATCTATTTAATATAAATGTGGAAGTTTCCAAGTTTCCACCCCCAGGGCTCCCTCCCCTGGAGGCACCCTCTTGTTCTGCTCAGCTGTCATGTAATAGCAAGTGGTGCCACCTTCTGGGCCCACTTAACTGGGTCAGAGCTCCACTTCCATTGGCCTTCCCTTAGTCAGCATTTCGCCAGTTGCTTTTGTACATTTTTCATCACCCCTGAGGCAACCTCCAGCCCTGCTGCCCGCCCTAGATGTCCTGGTTATTTCCTGAGATCTCAAATGTTTTGACTAGTGCTCTGGGTTCAAAGTTGCATATATTTTGAGTGATCTGTCTAATCCTATTCTCCCAATAAGCCTGCAGTTTCTTTGTGTGTTTTCTGCAGACTGTAGGCTTTCCAGGAACGCATATATTACATTATCATAGAAACACGTGTATTTAACCTCAGTAGAAGTGCATACCTAATAACAGCTAAGTGTTAATGATAGTTGATTTGGTAACTTAGGAGAAAGATGAAACAATCTTATTTCACTTCCTGAAGCATATGCCATGTCTGAGACCACTTAAGAACTTCTTACTTCTAGCTGGGTAAATTGTTCTTTTCACAGAGCATAAGACCTTATATTCCTGCAGTACCTATCAGGGTTCCTTGGATGAAAGTGTTCAATACATGCTGAATAATATTCAGTAAATAGTCCTTGACTATCCCTGGGTCCAGACATTCAAGGTTCATGTGTGAAAGTCTTCCCAGATCAGTCTGGCTCCATTCATTCTAAACATGCATGAAACTCTTTACCATTATTCTTCCCAGTTCTCTACATGTGATTAAATTCTGTGTCACCTATTGGAATCCTACATCCTCAGCTGCCTTGCCCTTCTGCCCCCTTGTACTCATCTCATTAAGTCCTGGCTAAATCCAACTCTCCTCCTACTCAGTCTGCCCCTCACCAGTGCCTAGGCTTCCCAACAGTGCAGGCACTCTCCCACTAACCTAGGAAACGATTTCTACCTGTTCTCTCCTTTAAAACTTCCAATACCTTACACATCCACATTCTCTCAGCTAATGATGTTGCTCCCTGTTGCACTGAGAAAATAGCAGGACTCAGAAGGAAGGTTCCATAAGCTCCTGACACATTTATCTTCCTGCCTGCCTGCACCTGTGACATAGAGTCCATAGTCTTTCCTATAACTGTTGATGAGCTGCCATGTTTCTGAGACCAGCTTCTCATGTGCTCCAGTTCCCATCCTGTCTTCTTGCCCCTCCCATGCTAAAGCCTCCCATGGTGCCCCATCTCACACAAAAAAGCCCAATCCTCACAGCAGTTGAAAGCCCCTAGATGGTCTGGCTGCCCTCTTTCCCCCACCACTTACCCCATTCTTGCTACCTGGTCTCACCATTGGTCTTCAGACACTCCAGGAATGCTCTGGCCTCAGGACCTTTGCACTTTACAGTGTCCTACCTCATAAGCTCTTCCCCAGATACTGGTGGGTTTTCTCTGTTCCTCTCCTAGGTCTGGTCACCTTCTCAGTGAGGCCTTCTGATCTGACATTGCACTCACACATCACCACTACCCCCACCCCTTCCCACTTTCTTTTTCTCTTCTGTGCTCATCACCATCCAGCATACTATCTACTTCTATTTATTGCCTACATCTCCTCCTCATCCCCACAGAAGTTCCTCCAGGGATTTTTGTGTTTTCTTCACTGACACATCTGCATCCCATAGAACGGTGCTGGGTTTACAGATATACTCCTGTTCAGGCCATGTCTCTTCCTGTGTAGAGTTAAATTCTAGAGGGGGAGTAAGTGTTAGGAGGAAAGTAAAGCAGAAGGAAGTGATGGAGAGTACCTGAGCCACTCCGAAGTGGACCTAGTGATGGGGGAGGCCTCTCTGAGGAGACACCACTTAAGCAAAGACCTGGGCAGCAAAAAGAGGCCAGCTCCCCCTGCATACAGTTGGAGAGTGTCCTGGGCAAGCTGGGTGGCCATTGTTCAGAGAGCCATTGAGTAGGAGGGAAAGTTGAGGAGGAGTTGAGGTCAGAGAGGCAGGCCAGGCCACATAGCCTCACAGACCCAAGGAAGAGTCTGGAATGTATAAGTGCATTGGGAAGCCATTTGAGGGTTTTTAACCAGGGATAATATCTGGTTTTCAGAGATCATCCTGGATACTTCATGGAAACTGGAAAGGATGACAAGCAGGGTGGCCTGTTCTACAGCCCACATTGGCACAGTGGCTCCCTGTACATAAACGTGGGCCACAGTGGGTCACTAACTTTATCTGTAGGGTAAAAACACAGAAGGAAATGAGTACAAAGAAAATTCACAATTACTCAAACTATTTTAAAACACCAGACTGTTTGTGAAAGGGGGGCCACATTGGCTGTATTTTCAGAGGGGAAGTGAAAAGAGAAGTCGATTGTTAGATAAAAAGGTAGGACAGCTAGCCTGCTCAGTCGATTTGCTTCAACTAGAGGTTAAGAGACTGGGAGGAGATAGCAGCTGTTTCCTGCAGCGTATCAGAAAGCCAGAGAACTTCAACCATAATTTAGGTGAGGTGAATTGTAACAGTAAACACAATGCACAACCTGTCTTGATTCAACGAAGATGTCAAACAAAGCCACTCTGTGTACGTTTGAGTTGTACGTTTGGTCTGATTTCAGACACTCCAGATACGGTCCTTAAAACAGAAGCCTGTGAGCACAGAACATTAAGAAAATAACAGAGACAAAAATTAAAATATATATAGAAAGAAAGAAAGAAAAAAAGAAAATAACAGAGACACACTTGTACATTACTAACATGACTGAGATGTACTCCTACATAGTCTGCAACATAGAAATGGAGTCTGAAGTACTCTGTAGTACTCAAGTACTCAAGTACTCTGTAGGGTGTTGACATCATTTTGGATCGCAAATGATGTACATACAGCTTATGTTACAAAGCTTTTGGAACTGGAAATGGGATCAGACTCACTCACTAACTTCATGGGTTTGTTCATTTGCTTTAAAGCTCGGTGACACAGGAGGGCAATTCCATGTGTCAATTTTATCATGGAATCAAAGAAAATGTATATCATTTTCTTTGTATATGATGTATAGGATCATGTATATGATTCTAGGATATTTTTTTATTTAACAACTTGCAAAAGAAAAAGAAGAAATGATAGAAATCATGAAGTTCTTACTGTAACAGATTAGAAAGGGGAGGTTTTTTTCATTCTTGAATCATTCTCTCCTGCATCCAACAGTATAGATATGAAAAGCGCTCTTCTTGCTCAGTCACATAACTGGGATCTAGCAATATTACGTGTTAGTGTAGCTACTCTTCAGCTTGTAAATGTGACAGAAGCTGTGAAGAATAGTAAATACAATTTCTTCCTGCTAAAAGTTGCCAGCCTTCTCTTGTTTTTTTTCTTTATTTTCCAAGTTCTGTAATTGTAGACATTCATAACTACATATGGATTAAATTTAGTTTGCAACTTCTGTCAAAAAAAAATAAAAAAACAAAGTTTCATCACTGTGAAATTATGTGATTCAGTTTTTTTCCCTCTATCTAAAAACAAAACAAAACACAAACATATGTTTTCTTTTCTCAAGAATACCTAAGCAAAAATGAAATGTGGTCAAACATCATTATTTTTTCCATCGTGGAGATTAAGTCTTCTAAATTCTAACGTTGGCCGTGTTTTCTTAGGACATGTAGCTACTCCACATCAGTAATTCTCAGCAGAGGGGTACCTGGGTGGCTCCATCAGTTAAGCATTTGACTCTTGATTTTGGCTCAGATCATGATCTCAAGATTCGTGAGTTCAAGCCCCACGCTGGGCTCTGCACTAACAGATTTCTCTCTCTCCCTTTCTCTCTGCCCCTCCCTCGCTTGTATGCATTCTCTCTCACACTCTCTCTCTCAAAAATAAAGAAATAACCTTAACAAATATTTACAAAAAAATACTAATAATTTTCAGTAGAGAGCAGTGGGTAGGCCTTCCACAGAAAATAAATCATAATAAAGCCCGCTATTTGAGGATTTTGTGTTTCTGTACAACCCTCCATGCTTCATGCCTCAGATCAGATGAATGTATCTTTGACTTTGTGGCACTTGGACCTATCGTTTTCAATACATCAAAAGACAAACATACAGGAAAAAAGCAACCTTCCAACAAGAGGTTCCTGGGCTACAGGTTTTATAGGTTTTCAAGGGAGAAAAAGTATTCTGCAGACAAACCTGGACTAAAGGTCTAATTTGAATGATCCTGTGGAGAGGATACACACTTTTGCTGCCCTGATGTCTTATGTTTTCACTCTCAGTGTGCAACTGTTGAGAAAAGAAGGCATATGCTAACTTGTGGTTCCTTCAGGCCCCTCACCCAGATTTCTATCTCCACCCATACCCTGGGTTTCTGTCAGTAACTCTGCATAACAATCCACAAGATTGCGCTCTTCATCCTGTTCTGTATAGAACGTTTTGGAGATCAGATTAGGTGGAAGTAGGACAGGAGAGGCAGTTTCTCAGGGGCTCAGAACCCAACCCAAACTTTTGGGGAGGGAGAAATGTTACCAAATGTAACATTTCTCCAGTCCTTCACTTTTTTAATAGTGGTAAGTCTCATCTGTGAATAACCAGTACCGACCCTAGACAAACAGAATAGGCAGAACTTGTCTTTATCTGTTTCACACTTCTCTTTTCAAGTTAGAATAGAAATGTAAGTAAGCAAGAGTGGTACCAGGCAGTTCTGGTTAGGGATGTTTCCAGGAATTCTCTGCATAATTCTTATTATACAGAATTCTCTGTATAATGTGTATAGTTGCAGACACCTCAGGCTGATGGTCAGTCAGGGCAGTGTTGTCTGGAAAGGAAAAGGTAACAACATCTGCTTCCGGCATGGCAATCAGAGATAGACTCCAACTTGATTGACTCTCACTAATGCTAATTCCCATGTAATTAGGTAGGATCAGTGATCTTGGTAAAGACTAAAATAAGAACACAGGGCTTTCCAGGAGTTGTAGGAAATCTTCCCCAAACATATGTGTGTAGTAAATTGGGGCTCAGTGGGCACATTTCCGCTGTTCCTTTTGAAGACTGGCTATATAGCACCACCATAATTACTTCATGAATGAATTCTCTTGTATTAAATCAGAATCATGGTCTCTCTGGGGTGGGTGGGGGGGTGGTCGGAATATTTTATAACTTTGACAAGTTGCCTGGGAAAAATCAGTGAAATCCTATGTCCTTATTTGAAGATGAGTAAATTCTGCTCCCACCAAACCCTCCAGATTTGGAATGGGATAACTACCAATTTCACTGTGAACTCAGTGCAGTAGAATTTTTTTAAAAAATGGAATGAAAAGTAAATTTGATCATTAATTTGCCTTCATGCCTCCATAATTCATTTTGCTTAATCCACCTCAAATCTCAAAGATACTCAGCTATGACACAGTCTGTAACCCTCCCGTAAGGCCCCTCAGTGGTATTGTGTCGCTATGTACTCTTGACCTTCAAAAGAATTGTAGTTTAACCAACTTGATCTTTTCTGTATCTCAGAACTCTTGGGTTGCATGAAATAGGACTCAACTCCAGCTAAGCAAAAGAGAAGAATTTATTATAGATATGCTTTCAAACAAGAAATGCTTCTGGGCTCCTGGATGAACCTCAACAACTATAGAAAGATATCAGGAGAGCAGGAAGTCAGCACTTCTTTGATCCTGTTTGTTTTCTGTCTGCTTCACCAGAATGCAGGGTCTCTGAAGGCTGGGCAAGGACTTTGTTTATTATGCGTTTTTTTCAGTTTGGGTTTTTTTTGTTTGTTTTGTTGTGTTGGCTTGTGGGTTTTTATTTTTGGTTTGTGAATAGGTTTTTCCATCTCCGTATTTTTTGCACCTTAAGCAGTACTAAGCATATGAGTGAGTTCATATTGAGTGACTTTGCAGGAGACCTTCTTACTTAAATTCACAGAAATAATAACAACTTTGAAACCTTAATCTTCATGGCCTTCTCCAGTTGCTGAAATTTACTAGCTGCCCTGTGGCTTTATCCTCAGCTTGTTGTCAAGGTGCACATGAATGATAACAGCACTAAATCGTTGATGGTGGATGAGCGGCAATCAGCCCGGGATGTTCTAGACAACCTTTTTGACAAAACCCATTGTGACTGCAGTGTAGACTGGTGTCTTTATGAAATATACCCAGAACTTCAAATTGGTAAGTCCTATCCCCAGTGTTAGACTGTGCTCCAAAAACCTGTGGGTTTGCTTTATTATGGGTTTTGGTTTCTTATTAAGAAGAATTTGGTTCAAGACTATCAAGATTTCCCATAAATCACTCCCCTTATGGCAGATTCAGTGCTTGCCTCTTCATTCCTTTGTGGTGAAGAGCCTCAGATTGTAACAAGTAGCCAGACCTTGGGGAATGTAAACACTATTATTGCCGCAGCTGTAGTGGTTCCATAAGAAAGAGAAAGTGATAGGATGAGACCTCTTACTGCATGTTTAGTAAGTTGAACATATTGTGGGAGGGCCTGGGTATCTGTCAGCTAATGTCTCTTTAGAGTTTGCATCTTTACACTATAGTGTAACTCTGCCATACATCAATGTTCATTTCCCCTTCCACCGTCCCCACTCACACTTTGGTTGAAGAGGCTCAGCTCCAAAGAGCAAAGGACAGTTGGTAGAATTGGAGTAAAAAAAAAAAAAGTGAAAAAGCAATTAAAGAAATACTCTTGTTACTTCTCATTGTTAAAATCACTCAGAATAGTTGTCTCTCTCAGGAGAGCTTGGTGGAATACAGAATTGCCTGCCTTCAAAGCTTTCAGTGAATTTCTTTTTTTTTTTTAATGAATGAAATGGTGTACACTGAAAGAATCTCTTGAGGTATTTTGCAACTCTCTGAGTCAAATAGAGAAATGAAAGCCTTCCTGTATGTTTAGGTTTGGTTCAGATATGCATATGTAGTTTTTAGTGTCTTAGAGGTGATGTTTCAGAGAACATATCACATGTCTCATAGCCTCCTTCAGAGTTGTTTAGCCAATTATTGCTTCATGGTCCTCCTTATGGATAAGATGTTTACCTCCATCTGAGACTGTTTAAAGTAAAAAGTAAAAATGCAGATAAGAAAAAAGTGCAGTGGCTGGCCATTATCATGATATTGTATGGTCGTCTGCCATGTTTTTTTGTGGAAAATAAGTTGAAGACCTGACACTGAAGAAGAAACATAATAGGGGTGTTACAATGTGACATCATGGAAGAATTAGGAATTTCTAAAAACCGATGAGAAGAATGAAGCATTGTATTTAACTCAATACTAGCTTAATTCTCTGTTGGAAACCCTAATGTCTTGGGTTGGAAAGAATGCTTTTTCTTGTTTCATCAGAAAGGATTTTTGAAGACCATGAAAATGTTGTTGAAGTCTTATCAGACTGGACAAGAGACACAGAAAATAAAGTGCTGTTTTTGGAGAAAGAGGAAAAATACGCTGTATTTAAAAACCCCCAGGTAAGATAACTTGTATATAGTTAAACCATATAAAATATGGAGGACTTTTTTTAATGTCACCTGTGTACTAGCAAGCATCATTCATTGTCTCACAAAATATTGCAAATATATTCCTTTAAAAAAACACACACACACAATCCAGGGGCACCTGGGTGGCTCAGTCAGTTAAGTGCCGGACGTCGGCTCAGGTTATGATCTCAACAGTTTATGGGTTCGAGCCCTCCATCAGGCTCTGTGCTGACAAGTCAGAGCCTGGAGCCTGCTTTGGATTCTGTGTCTCCCTCCCTCCCTCCCCTTTTCTCTCTCTCTCTCTCTTTCTCTGTCTCTGTCTCTATCTCTACCTCAAAAATAAGTAAACATTGAAAAAAAATAAAGGAATGCCTGTGTGGCTCAGTCAGTTGAGCATCTGACTTCCACTCAGGTCATGATCTCATGGTTCATGAGTTCGAACCCCACATTAGACTCTCTGCTGTCAGCACAGAGGCCTCTTAGATCCTGTCTCCCTCTCTCTCTTCCCCTCACCCCCCTTTCTTAAAAATAAATAAACATTAAAAAACTTAAAAAAAATTTTTTTTGTTACGTTTCTTTATTTTTGAGAGGCAGAGAGACAGAGCATGAGTGGGGGAGGGGCAGAGAGAGAGGGAGACAGAATCAGAGGCAGACTCCAGGTTCCCAAGCTGTCAGCACAAAGCCCGACGTGGAGCTCGAACTCATGAACCGTGAGATCATGACTTGAGCTGAAGTCAGATGCCTAACTGACTGAGCCACCCAGGCACCCCAAAAAATTTTTCACTTAATAAAAATACACAAACTCAACTCTTAGGTCATATGTAAACTATAATAGGCCCTTAAAGGATTCAGAAAGAATAGAAACCATTTTGTTTTTTTAGATCCAGCATCCAAAGCATATCTGTCTGTTTATTAATCCTCTTCTTCTGTCCTTACTTCAATTTGGCTACATTAATTCAATATACCTTGATGCACTAAGGGTCATGAATGCTTCATGTTTTAAACACTCTTTTTTGTTGTTGCTAATACTTGGTGCTTACTGATGCTGGGATTACTAAAGAGGGCACCTGGAAAATGTACCATTTATTGTGATTTAATTGTATAAACAGTCTACGTAATAAAAAGCATTATTCTCCGGGGAGCCTGGGTCGCTCAGTCAGTTAAGCGTCCGACTCTTGATTTCGGCTCAGGTCATGATATCGAGCCCTGCGCTGGGCTCCGTGCTCAGTGTGGATCCTGCTTAAGAGTCTCTCATACTCCCATGCACTCGTGCTCTCTCTCTCTCTCTCTCTCTCTCTCTCTCTCTCTCTCTCAAAAACAAAATTTTTTTTTAAAGCATTGTTCTCCATATTTGAAAAAGCTTCCTTCAAGTCATGTGTACAAGGATGTCACAGAAATACAGGCCTTTTCCCACTGTGGCCTCCAGCTGACTGTAATTGCATGAGGGTCATTAAGGCTTTTTTGGAAAGTCAACGAACATTAAACACAGACAAGATCATTGGGGACATCCAGACACCTTTATATTTTACAGGTTAAAAAAACTAAGTCCCATGTCACTAGAGGCAGAAATAGCAGGATACTAGAGCAGCTTTCTTGTGAGAAAATGCTCTTTCCCCGTACTGTGCTTTTTTCTAGAGTCTTCTCTAGGTTTTGTGGTGGTGCACTGACAAGAAAGCAATTAAATACTATTGTCTTTGACAAATATTGAACAATAAAAGTATGGTTGATGCTTGAACAACACAGTGTGGGAGGGACGTTAGGGGCACCGACCCCCTATGCAGTTGAAAATCTGTGTATAACTTTTCACTCCCCAAAAACTTAATTACTGATAGCCTGCTATTGACTGGGAAGCCTTACCAATAACATAAACAGTCAATTAACACATATTTTGCATATTAGATGTACTATTCAGTGTGTTCTGACAATAAGCTATGGAAAAAATATTAAGGAAAAAATCATAAGGGAAAGAAAATACAGTACTGTACTATATCCCCCCCACCCGCCAAAAAAAAAGTCCGTATATAAATGGATCCATGCAGTTCAAACCTGAGTTGTTCAGGGATCAACTACAAAGTTTTCAAATTGTAACTACCTTCAATGGAATGTTTTAATGCCTGTATTAGTTAGGGTACTATCTTAGCTTCTGTGACAAAGAGACTCCCTAGATCAGTGGTTCAAACCAGCTAGAAGCTTTATTCTTTCTCACGTACCAGTGCAGACATAGGTGGGTAGATTTAGTAGGAGACTGTGCCATTCTCAACAATAGCTTCTATCTCTGGGCCCAAGGCAGCTTTTCCACCTGGCCATTTCCCAGTTCTTAGGGAGGGAATAAAGAGCCAGGGAACTGCACAACCACACTTCTTACTGGAAGGACCTGGAAATGGCACTTTTACTTCTGCTTCCATCGCATTGGCCAGAACTTAGTTACAGGGGATTTTGAGCTACACAAGAAACTGACAAGTACAGTCTATTTGAATAACGATACACATAACTAAAATTGGGAGTTGTATTCAGAGTCACCACTTTGCACAATTCCTCCACAAAGAAGTTTTCACATTGAGTCTATAAAAATGGTGCCCAGGCGCTGTAACATGGCTATAATATTGTATAACCAAGAGGAGAAAGAAGAGAATAAGTATAGGCGGATATCTGCAGCTTGCCATGGCATCTAATGAATCAGTGCACAAAACATAAGTACATGCTGTGAATTTTTACAAAGTGCACATCCCATTGAACTACCACCCACATCAAAATATAGAGCATGAGTGATACACCAGCAGACTCGCTTATGTCCCTTTCCAGCCATTGACCCCCATTACAAGAATAATCATGATTCTGACCTCTCTGGCCTCGGTTTTTCATGCTTTTTAACTTTGTATAAAATGGAATCATATCATAGTACTCTTTGGTGTTTACCTTCATTCCTTTTGTTGCATATGGCAGAACATGGCTTGTTCTTTTTCTTTGCCCTTTGGTATTCCACTGTGCATTTGTACCAAAATAAGTTTATCTCTTGTATTACTGATGGACATTTGATTTGTTCCTAGTTTGGGGCTTTAACAAGTAATGCTGTTGACAACACTCTTGTACCTGTATTTTGTTGAACATATGGAGACTTTTTTCTTGTGTAATACATACAAGTACAATTGCTAGCTCATAGTTTCTGCACATATTTAGCTTTAGGAGATACTGCCAAGCAGTTTTTCAAAGAGATTATATGATTTGCCTCCATTAGTATTGTATGAGAATTACCGTTATTCCAGATCCTTGCCAGCCCTTGGTGTTGCCATTTAAAAAAAATTTTTTTAGCTGTTCTATGTGGGTGTGTTGTGGTATCTCCTATGGTTTTAAGTCAAATTTTCTATTGCCAAAGGCTTGAGTACCTTTTCAAATGTTTATTATCGATTTTTGTGAAGTGCCTGTTCAGGTCCTCTGCCATGATCCTCAGCCTCTTACCAGAGGGGAAATGTGGCTCTCAGAATATCTCAGCATCAATTTGTGGTTCCTTTATCTCTTGGATCTTGGCCCCTTAAGTCCTGGTTGCCTCCATAGCTCTCCAAAACCTTCACACAGTTGTTTTTTTAATCCAGATTTTCAAGATGTTCTTTTGAAGCTTTGGTCTAACTACAAGCTACTGATCATAGGAGGAGGCAGAAATCCTCCTGCTGAATTCTTCTGGATAATAATCTGTTCTTTAAAACCAAGTAAATAGATTCTTCTAATTTGCAATCACATTTAAAGACCATAATGGAAGTGGACACATTTTTTAAGTTGCTGATATTAAGTATTTCCATTTTCTCAGTGTTTGGTTGGATAATATATCTTCTGTTCAGTACTCCATGTGAATAGCTACTTCAGCGTGCCGACCTTAGGGCTCTTTCTTGTTCCTGAAGTAGACTGTGACCATTCCCACATTGATGTCATGGCTCCTAAAAGGGAAGCTTTGTAATTTTGAAATACCCACAGTCCCTTTGTAAAAGCTGTATGCTGAGACCCTTTGATAGTTTTTAACAGAAATATTTTTTTTAAGTTTACACAAAAAGAATAACAAATCCTAGAGAAAAGTATTTCCAGAGTAAGTTTCTTAAAGAAATACAACCTGGGGGCGCCTGGGTGGTGCAGTCGGTTAAGCGTCCGACTTCAGCCAGGTCACGATCTCGCGGTCCGTGAGTTCGAGCCCCGCGTCAGGCTCTGGGCTGATGGCTCAGAGCCTGGAGCCTGCTTCCGATTCTGTGTCTCCCTCTCTCTCTGCCCCTCCCCCGTTCATGCTCTGTCTCTCTCTGTCCCAAAAATAAATAAACGTTGAAAAAAAAAAAGAAATACAACCTGGAAATTCTTTTGTTTAATAGCCTTACATTTTTTCCTGAAGCAATGTCTCAAATCAGTTAATTCAAAAATCCAAATACATCCTGTATTTCATTTGGGTTGTTAATTCTTTTTCAAATGTAATTGTCAACATTTATATGTAGTAGTGAATCCCAGAACAGAGTAGTGAGTAACTGATACCTGCTTCCATTCCCTAGTCAGGACTATCTATACCTGTGGGCCTGCAGGTTTGATCATCCTGCCCAGCCGGCTTATGGTGCTGTTTAGGAACTATTTCAAGAGTTAGACACTGTGCGTGAAGAACTAGATTTAACCAGAAATTATAAAAGGAAAAGACTGAGACTCTGAACAACTTATTTGTTCTTCTCAAAAGGTTTTAAAACATTGAATGTCTCTCCACTGTTGACTTATATGGTGAACCTTTACTGGAATGCACTCCGTTTACTTGGCTTTAGCAAATGTTGTGGAGTATCTGTTTACATGTTTAATCTGTGCTATCTGTGGAAGACACAAAAGCAAAGATAATCTTTGCCTCAGACAATTTACAGTGTAGCTGAAGAAAAAGACATGTACAAAAATAAGGACAGCATAGCTTTAACATAAGAGTGGTGGAGGACAGAGACTATAGCCTGGTACAGTCTTAAGATTAAGTCCCAGCGTGCAAA